GTTATATTATGTTATATATTATATCCATATTATAAAGCTATTTCCCACTATATACAGTATTTATGTGTATATATATATATATATGGATTCATGTTTAGCTATACAGTAGTTAATTTTGATCCACTAAGTTCAGTGGGGCTTAGATTGTCTGTGCACGTTCTGTGCTGCTGAGTCGGAACTGACTTATAGCAAACCTAACAGAGTTTTCAAAGTAGGTGAGATATTTAAGGAGTAGTTTTACCATTTCTGTTTCCCCCAGTCAGTTTTCATGGCCAAGTAGGGATTTGAAGCCTGTTCTCCAGAGCCCTACTCGGAAGTGGGACTTAAGTCTAGTGATGACTAATTTAAGTCATTTTTAAAGATGGGTCTGTAGAAGGCCAGATTATGTATAGAGTTAACTAGTTTTAATTACTTTGTAAACAAAACAAAACAAAAAACAAGCGCTTCCTGTGTGCATTTGTATTGGAAATTCTACCCTAAATTACTGTTTGGAAGGGAGGGCAACAGGTAGAGGAGAGCAACATGGTTAAAATACTGCAGTGATAACGACAAAGCAGTGATAATGATAAACATCAAGTTTAATAATGTTGGGCTCCCTATTAACATGCCTACTTCTGCCCGCCCACCCCTTTCCTTTCTGTTTTATAGCCCTCATGAGGATCAGATCAGCTTCTGGTCAGTGTGCACAAGAGACAGACACTGTCAAAACCATCTGTTTGCCATCTCAAAATGACATACTGAGAGACAATTTTGAATGTGAAGTTTCTGGCTATGGAAAAGCAAACAGGAGTAAGTGGATGCCTGTTACATTACTGTCTGTTGGAAATGATGCTGGTTATATGGCATGTTATGAACAGCAGCTTCTTGAAGCTGGCTGAAGCCCAGTGGCTGAGGTGGTGCGACAAACCTACTTCCTTTAGTGCTCGTTCTGCACACATGAAACTAACATGCTGTGCTCTGGATTGTAGTGTAACCCGCTACATCAAAACTTAAGACAGTGAGGGTCGTGTGAAACATTCAGTGAGGAAAACTCTGAGATTCTTGTTTTGATTTCCTCAGACTTCACTGAGAATAACCCCATTCAAATGCTGTATCTCTTTTTTCTACAGCTGACATTTTCTACTCAAGGATGCTGAAATCAACCAATGTGAACTTGATATCGCAGTCCATGTGTCGAAAATACTACGAGAATCGTGTGGTGAATGGCAACATGTTGTGTGCCGGGGGCCTACACTGGAAGACTGATTCATGCAGTGTAGGTTTGCTTACATGCCTTTTTCAGATTCCGTGACAGGCGTAGTTTGTGGTCAGGTAGAAGACTTGTTTCTGTTGAATTCCACTCCATCCCAAATGTCTTGCAAATGGGCTGCATCTTTTTGCAACAAGGGCCAGAGTGCCATTCTGTTGCTTAGACCTGCATCCACAAAACTTGACACAGGTCTTGTGAGGAAGGTCTCCTTGATGCTTTTGCTGAAGGTGCCCTACTCTTCTGTTTCACTGTAATCCCATTACTAGATAAATGGGTCACTACTGCAGGTGCATAAACACTGATGTCACAATTGCCTAGATGCATTGATTACTCATGAGCTTTCTTTCTTTTCTTCACTTCCTTGACTCATGTTCAGTCCTTGATTGAAGCTCAGTTATACTGCAAATACTTAAAGAAAACTAACCATTATCCCTGTGTTTTCACTTATCAGGGAGATTCTGGTGGTCCCCTCATTTGTGAGTTCGGTTCCAGAATGGTGCTGCATGGAATAGTCAGCTGGGGCGATGGCTGTGCTCAAAAAGAGAAGCCCGGAGTCTACACAAGAGTCACAGAGTACCTCCCTTGGATTGAATCCCACATCAATGGAGTCCATTTCAAAAGTTACTACCCTCCTAAATGAAGAGGGGACCTTCCACTGCTACATGAAGCCTTGGTGTTAACCAACAAAACTAATGGAAACTGAGCCAAGTGACATTATTGTGCATTGAAACTCCGAGATTTGTTTTGGAGTGGACTTTTCCTCTTTAGAAGTTGCCTTCTAAGGCTTCTTTAGGGGTTAGTTTGTTAACATGCACATCATTTTGTCTCAGGTAGAAGTCAACAGCCATCACTGTGAACAGTATGAAGACTCTTCTGTGGGGGGCAAAACCAGTAATATTTAATAATTAAATAAGGAGAGTTTTGTCATCCATGGGTCACATTATCTAAAGGAGTCAGTATTATACTATGTCAGTTGTGGTTTGGTAAAATCAGTTGTTCACTTCCTTAAGTTGGTGCCATCTTGAAAAGCCCAGGTATCCCAGCTTAAGGGATGGGGTTTAATTATATTGGCAAACTGCATTCAATGGAACTTAAGTGACTTAAACTTTCTCTAGGCTGCACTGTCAATTTTTATTTTTCATTTGAATGATAGCTTTTAAGAAAGCTATGCTAAAGGTGCAAGCCAGCAGCCATTGTGTTCTCAAAATCTGGAAGCATGTTCAAGAGCAATAAAGTGGAAGAGGGGGTTGTGGATGCTCCTCAGCATTTCAGTTCCTACCAAAGAAAACTGAAGCGGTTTTAGCTACAAAGAACCTTCTAGAAATTGGTGAAATTTTATTTTATAATTGTATTTTACCCATGCTTTTTAGTCCATGTCATCACAACTGTCCTAGAGAGACTATTGTAACCTACCCGAAAACATGTTGCCATGTCCATGAAGTTGTGCCAGACCACCTGAGATACTTGTGATTTTGGGAAACCAAAAATGTCACTGGGCCATCACTTGGGGGTTTGGTGAGTCAACATCTCTGTAACATTCAAATAGGCCTACTCTAAATGTGACTTACTTTAGGTTCTCATGTGCAATGAATTGGAACTGGGCATGACTGACTTCAAGTAGGTGTCTGTTAAGGATTACTGGCATTAAATGATAAGAGACTATAAACAAAAATGTCAATGACATGAAAAACATTTTTAAAATGCTACCAGATTTTCAGATTTCAACATGTTTGGTTTTAAAGGAAAAGGCAGTTTCTAGGGTGTAGTTACTTCTGACATAGTACAAACACAGATCTGCAGAAATTGCTAAGATTCGCCAGATAAGAACGTAATATTTTAAGCTAGTTAATTCAGGAATATATTTCAGCTAATCCCCTCCATATTGACATTCAGACAGTCTCTTTAACTCAGAGTTTCTCCTTAAAATCTTATCCTGCCATATTTGTTTAGTTGTGTAGAATAATGTCAGCATTTCAATGTGTTGTCGCAGAAGGGCATCCTCTGGATCAGTAGTTTCCAGCCTTGGATCCCCAGATGTTCCTGGACTACAGTTCCCAGAAATCCTGGTCAACACAGCTAATGGTGAAGGCTTCTGGGAGTTTTAGTGCAGGAACATCTGGGGACCCAAGGTTGGAAACCATTGCTCCAACATGGCTAATACCCATGGATTAACAAGGTATAGTCTGGTCATGGGTTGCCTATTTTGATATAGTACATAAGTAAAAAAGAGAGTTAGCCTAAATGAAAAGATGTCTTCTCAGGAAAACTTGGGAAGAGGGTGGGGTGGGGTCCAGGACTCTCCAACCAATGTCGAGATCTCTTATCAGCTTACAGTTGGCAGAATTCAATCGGGAGGGCACAACAGGTAAAGAGATATGAAACAAAAGCTGGTAAATAAAGGAACAATGTTGATCTTACTGTCACATTCTCTCATTCTCAGGGAAGTCCCCCTATTTGTCTCCATCTATGAAAGCCTTTCCACTAACCCTTACTGTGTTTGCAATGTCTCTTCTGCACTTGAGGAAAAAACAGAGATGGGCATTGGGTAGTCCCTCATAATGAAGAATATTTGTAACAAACCATTTATCTCTTTTCTAAGACTCCAATAGAAGTAGTTGTTTTATTTCCTTTTTTTAAAAAAAGTATGTTTTTAGTCAATGAACATGTAAAATATGTGTGAGGGCTGGAACCTCCACTATTATTTAATAATGTTTCTTTATTTAACTTATTCTTTGTAAATCATGTGTATTAAAACCAATAAAAAATTACAGATACATGGGCTTCCCTTATTTTTTATTTCCTTAGCTAGGTGCAATTACCGTACTATACTTCTTGTATTTATTACTTGCTTTGCTTTTAGGTGGTTATACCATATTCTGAACCCATCATTTCCACTCCAGGTTCCGAAGTCTGAAGAGTCAAGAAAGAGCACCTGTCTCCTACAATGTTGCTGTTGTTTCAACTTAAATAAGCCTCATAGTGCTAGAGCACTCTCTGGGTAGTTTATAACGTAATTATGTGAACAACAATTTGCCCCCTAGCAAATTGGACATTTACAGTATTTTACTAATTTCAGGAGGATGGAAAGCTTCAATCTTGAGTTGGCTCCCTGTGCCCATTGGCATTAAACTCAAGCCATGATCAGAAGCTTGACCTTAATACAATATTGGGGCAACCCTACCATGAGGCAGCATGAGGCATATGCCTTTGGAGGAAGGTGTTGGCTTATGCAAACAATGTTGTAGCAGAACAGCCTTTCCTAATTGCTGCTCCTGAGCCCTCCAGGCATTCCTCCCACATGGTCTACTTGGCACACTTATGGCCATCTGCCGTGCTCCACTGTGGTGTCAGGTCCACTGTAATGGTATCAAACTTTCTAGCAGGAAAACTGTTGTGTATTTCAGCCAGCATTAACACCGGGATATAGCTTTCCCCAGCAAATTGCTGCACGTTAAGAAGTCAACCTAGGCATTTCCAGCTGCATGTAAATCAAGTCATGTGATTGGTGTGCAACAGGATATGCCTACATTGACTTCTTAACGTGTAGCAATTTGCTGGTGAAACTTATGGTAGTGCACATAACTAACAGGGCTCCAGCCATTGACTCTTGATTTGAGTATGTTTTTCCAAAGTCCACTTCCCCACCCCCATCTTCATTTTCTGTTAGGATGCACAACAAAGTTCTTTGCAGCCAACAGAGAAACTGAGAAGTGAGGACCCAGCTACCTTTTCCCCTTCTATACACTCAGCATGTACCCCACAGAGTCATCAGAGATTTTCCATGACACTTTTTCCTTCCCTACCTTTTGCCTCCTCCCTCTGATTTATAATTGCAGGATTAGATCAGGGGTGGAGGTTATAGTATCTTGTTTTTTAAATTCTCTTTGGCTTTACCTCTGTCCATCCTTCCTTCATCACATGTAAGGATGAGCTCTAGTAAAAAGATCTTTGATCTTTAGTGACAATGAATGGATGTTGAGCCTGGTCTGAATCAATAGCAGCCTCATTATCTACAGAACAGCATTTCCCAACCTGGGGGTGACCCATCGCCTAATATATGTTGTAGCCCTTGTTAAATAATTTCTTCCTTGATCTTTTAGAGCGGGATATTAAAGTTAGTGTATGTGTGAGATACAGACCCTTTTGTGAGGAGAAAGAAGCCTCTACTTTCTGATAAGAAATGAATTTACATTAAAAATGCCTTTTTATGTAAACATGGCACGTGTGGAGGTGTTGCAGGTTACTTAGCTATTATAAAAGAGGGCCGCAACTCAAAAATAGTTGGGAACCACTGCTATAGAGCATAGGTGGGCAATGTGCCCTCAAGGTGATGTTGAATTGTAATTTCTATCAGCTCTCACCACTGAGTGTGCTGGCAAGGGCTGACAGCTGTTCCAATCCAACAACATCTGGAGAGACATAAGCCACCCCGCACCTAAACAGACAAAACTGCACAATCTGCAGAGGAAAATTCCCATTGAATTCAATGAGGCTTATGGTCCTTTTTCCGAGATGGAAGCTACTGTACCAAATAGGGAGATAGATGAATTTAGGTTTGATCTGGATCAGAGCTCCTCTTTTGCCACATCAGCCCCCAGGCCCAATTGGTACTGAGATCTGTTCTTTTCAGCGGGAACCAATATTCATAGGGAGCAATTATAGCATAATGATGGAGCAGTGGAGGCTGATAACCCTGATGTCACAGGGCAATTAATTTTCTGTGGGTTTTTAGTCTGAACTCTAAAAAGAATTATTAAAGACCTATTTAAGAGATAGGGTTCAGCACCTCGACTGGCTCATGTAAAATTCCTACTAAAAAATGAAGCAGATTAACCACTCTAGTGACACTGGAGTCCCTAGCCTCCACTGTGGTAGAATGCAGGATTACCATGTTGAAAATGGTGCGCTAAATCTCTATCACCTCCATACAGGGTTGGGAAAACCCTCTGCCTGAGACCCTGGAAAGACACAGCCAGCCAGCATACATAATGCTGAGATGAACAGACCAACTTTAACACAGTTCCCTATGAAGAAGGCAGAGACGCAAACAAAGAGAGATCCTGTTAGCTACCTTGCCAGTCTATGACACTATGCAACAAATGTCTTGCAGGACAAAGTTCTTTGCAGTACATTTACTGCCTGATTGCTCCCGATTATACATCAACTGGACATGCTGCCTTGGGCATTTTAAAGGTACCACCAATGACCATTTGGAAAACCCTCTGGCCCCGATTCAAAGCTTTCATTAAAAAAAACAACAACAACTAAGTCTCTAGCCCTAGTGGAACCACAGATACAAGGCAAAATGTGGGGTTAGTGTTTTGATCTACTCTTTGTGAAAAATAAAGCTTGCTGCGTAATCAGCCAGTGAGTAAAACCATCCACAATTTCACAGTATAAATGCTGGCATCTTGAGAACAGGATGCCCTTTGGTAAATAGGTGTAACCTGTTTGCAGAAATCTGTTGGCAGAGGTGCCTACATTGTTTGTATAGGAAGCTATTGGCCCATAATAATGAATACTGGCTGGCTAGGGTGGGGTAGGGTACAGGAGCTGTAGTCCAACAAAACAATTTATCCAAGTTCTTACGCTGTGCAACTTATTGTATTTCCCCCTTTGGCGAGGTGTTGGATTCAATGACTCATGCAGTCCCTTCCAAACTCTACAATTCTATAGGTTCACATGTCTATGTCCCATGGCCTTCCAGTTTATTTTCCACAGTTTTCCGGACTAACGGTTGCTACAGATATTACATTTTTAAGCAGAGGTTTCAGACACTGAGATGGAACAAATTCTACAAGTGTTTGCCTTGATACTACTTTTCAAGCTGCTTACTCAAGACTTTTGCATCTATTAAATATGCATAGGAAACTGATATATTTGTAGTCACTAGGAATAGTTATATCTTGACTGACAATACCAGCTGGTGGCTTCTGAGACTTGCAGTCATCTTACCAAAACTGTTGTAACTAGAAACATGAGCTCTTGCTCAGATACTCCTGATTTCCCAACTAAAACAATTGCATATCAATCCATTTTGTAGTCCACTCAGCCATATGACGTTTATTAAAAAATAGGCACGTAGGATATATATTGCTTGGTCATAACGGGTGGCGATTTCTAGGGGTTCAATCCACAGATATTACATGATGAATTTGGGAAATTGTAGAGCCAGACAGATGAGATTTTGCATGGATGCTACTAATTTCCCAGATTTAATAACTGGATAGGTTATATTGTGACTAACCACAGCTGAGTGGGGGATTCTGGGAGTTATAGTCCAAAGAAGTTGCATTTCCTGTGAGTACTAGACTGAGTAGATGAGTACTGGATAATTGACATTAAGGAGAAGAGAGAAAAATAGTTTGATTAATGTGGCAGGAAGGTGTTAGGGGAGGGAAAGAAGAAACATAGGATATGGGGATGCAACCAACGGGTTTCCAATCTGGCAAACCAAAGGACATTTACTAGTGCTTTAAAAATTGCTACTTTTACCCATTACTTTACAGTAATACTTAACCCACGTTGGAAAGAGCATCATGTTCCTAATAAACCACTTGAGGGAGCTTTACCACCATTCACTTAACAGCAAGAAGGAGAAAATTGAAGCTGGCACACTAAAAACATACTGCTCCTCTGTTGCCTGAGGATTCAGGGGTGGTTTGTAGACCTGTACAGAGGCGGGGGGATGACGACCACCCCTCAGAATTCAACTTTGGACACTCTAGGGCCAACAAAAGGTTCTTTACACAACTGTTTCCATTGAAAATGAGATTGAAGGATTTTGAGACTTGAAATAATAATATACACAGCATAATCAAGTTTTCCTCTTTATTTAGAGATACAATAGCTGAAATCCAATAATGACAATGAGACTAGGTTCATTGAACTAATGGAATGTACAAAGGTGCTGACACATAAATTCTTCACTGATTCAATGGGTCTACTCTCTTTGTAACTTACTATTCAATTTCAGCCAATTTTTTTAAATTTTTGGATACTGAAGTACTGTATGTAGATGCCATAAATCACTGCTTAAAATACAAGTGAAAAACATTTTGTTGCATTTTGTATTTTTTCATTCTCCACAGTTATTTAGCGATCAACCCTATATGCAATGCCTATATCTCAAAAGGAACTCATCACAGTAAGGAATATGTTTTGCAAAACAAAAAAAATATTAAAAATGGGGGGAAGATTTAGGTGTTATTTAGCAAACAGAAGCTATCCTGTAAATGTTATCAGGATGGCTGAAATATGCCCAGTGCTGGTCCTGAAATAACAATTATTTAAGTAAATCTGGTAGGAGTCTACTATTCTATGGAATATTCCTTTTTTTCGTTATCCATTCTGAAAATTATTTCTCAACACTGGCATGTTATCTGATATTTTTGTTACTGATACTGTTTATATACAGATAACTGGGTGGATCATGAAAAACTGCTATTGGGCTTCTATTAAAGCCTGAATAGCATTTCCTATTGAATTTAGTTACTGCCAACATCCTGAATGTTCATCTGGATTTAACT